CCATGGCTTCATAGTCGTGCAATAAATATTTTACGAAATGTACTTTCATATCATGACTTTGATCAACGTTTATTAATAAATGATGAAAAAAATAATCGAAATCGTGTGGCAAGACTTTATTTGCCATTAGTTCATATTGTTTCGAATAATATTAATAAATTATTCGATCCTGGAAATGCTTCATTTGGTAAGAAAATTGTCTTCTCATTTCATTTTTTTACTTAAGAATAGAAAAGTTTTGAAAATCGCTTTTTTTTTTTGTTTCTTTCATAGGTCAATTGAATCGTCCATCAGTAACACCTTCGGATGATCTTCTACCATCAAATACTGATGAATTTACTACAGAAACTGATGGAACTTTAGTAAATAACAAATGTTTTTTTTCTTGTATTATTTCTCAAGTTTATCGTTCTTTTTTTTTTTGTTTTTTGAAGAAACGTATATCATCAATGACAACATTTAGTGAAGAAACATCTCGAGATTTATTAATATGTTTATTATGGCTATTAAAAAATATTGATTCTTCTGTACTTCGTCATTGGTGGATGCATATGACACGTGAACAACTTCAAAATCTAATACAATTACTTGATTTATCTATAGCAAGTTTTGAATATAAAGGAAAAAAACAAATGAAACGTCATCATCGTATTGGTGCTGGTGGACATGCATCTGTACTTGCTGCTATATCAACATGTGCATCAACAAAGAAAACTTCAATGATATCTGTTAAAAATCAATTAGAAAAATCTATTATTGGAACTGATAATGCAAGAACAGATATGTTAAATAGAACAAAACAAAAAAATCCTAATCCATCAATTCATGGTAAAAATAAAATAAAAATAAAAAAAGTGAAAATTATTTTTATTTATAGAACCAAGTAAAAGTACAAGCAATCTTCGTTGGCGTAAAGATCAAACACATTGGCGACAAGCAAATATAGAAAGGTCGAATATATATATATGTTGTTATTTTATACTTACAGAATAAACATACACAAGTGAAAGTCGATATCTTCATTTAGTATACATAAATATTTTGCCATCGTAGATGATTAACTTGGAGGCCTTTAGGCGAAGAATTAATTTCACGAATAGAAATTGTGCTAATTACGATATCCCAGGTCAAGAAATACGAAATATTTCTGATTGAAAAACTCGAAGAAATGGTAAGAACTGGGAAGTAGAAATTCAATAAACGACTGATCGGTTACAAGCGAAATCGAAAAAATTCGATCATCGAATTTCTACTTCCAATTTTCGATCAAAAATGGCGTCTTTTCGGCGGGAATCTCCTGAAAAAGTTAACTTCAACTATCGAATAGAAATCTAAGATAAGCTTTTCTAATGTTGATATTAGATTTCAAAAGATATAAGCGTTTTAGATAAAATTATTGACTGTAGAAAATGTTTTTTTATTCGAAAATTCGAATAAAGAGATGTTTCTCTTAAGAGTATAAGGTTCGTATACAACTTATTTATTGATAAGAAAGTATCGAATACTGTTTCTATAAATTGATGATTAAGAAAGAATGATTAGTTTTTTTATATAACCTTTCGTGTATGTTAGTTTTTGTTTTGCTTTCTTCGAATGTGTAAGTAAAAAACAACGAGAATCCAGCTCTTCTTCCTTTATTTTGATAGCACAAGAAATTTTTTGTCAGGAAATTATTTCCATCTGGGCAAATTTTCTCGTTTTAGTGACAGGTTCCGCATTTCTGTTTACGCTACATAGAAAAACGCTTGAGTTATTTTGATAGTAATTTATTATTCTACGACTATTCAATTTTTAATCGAAATAATATATAATTATCATTATTTTTCAAATGATTTGGAATTCAAGAGTTTTTTTTTTCCTGAAATCTTATCTTTTGATTTCTAAGAACGATAAATCACCTTACTTTTATTAATCTCGATATATTCATCGTTCTTTAAGTATACTCCAAGAATAAGTTGTATAACAATTGATAAGAAAAGAATTAAGATTATCGACTATTCGATTAATTCATGTGTATATATGTTATGCTTAAAAATCAACGAGTTTTTTTTTTTTAATTTCTTTCTCATTGTAGAAGTGAAGAAGAAATAACAATTGATGCTCATCTTGAAAGTATTCTTGCATCAGAATGTACAATGATTGTTTTAGATACAATAGAAACAATAATACAAGTTTGTTTATTGTTTTATTTTATCAAAAAACAAAAAAAAAAAAAAAGAATTTTCTAAAATAGGTTGTTCAAACAACAGATTGTCATCAAATTCTTTTACCTGGTTTACTTAAAATACTTTTACATGCATTTGCACTTAATCAAAGTACATGGACATTGCAAAACTTATTTTCACATCAACGTGCAATAGTTTATAAAGTAAATTGATTCATTTTTATATCAAAAAAACAAAAGAGAATGAGATTTGTTTTTTTTTTTTTATTATAATTTAGTTTCCTGAATTACTTTTTGAAGAAGATACAGAACATTGTGCTGATTTATGTCTTCGTTTATTAAAACATTGTTCATCATGTTTAAGTACAGTACGAAGTCATGCATCAGCATCACTTTATTTATTAATGAGACAAAATTTTGAAATTGGAAATGTAAATAAAAAAAAAAACAACAAGAAATTTTTATTTTTTTAAATTTCTTATTTATTAAAATAAATATTTTATAGAATTTTTCACGAGTTAAAATGCAAGCAACAATGTCATTATCATGGCTTGTTGGACAATCAACATCACAATTTAATGAAATATTTTTACGTAAATCATTACGAACAATATTAACATATGCTGATGGTGATACAGATTTACAAGAAAGTGCATTTCCAAGTCAAGTTAAAGATTTAGCAACAAATTTATATATGATTTTATGTGATACAGTTAAATTACGTGAAGCTAAAGTTATTATTTAATTGAAAATTTTTATTTTAATTCTTTTATTTAATATGAATCATTTATTTAGGATAATCCAGATATGGAAATTGATCTTCTTCATCGTATAGCTAATTGTTATCAAAATAGTCCAGATTTACGACTTACTTGGTTACAAAATATGGCTCAAAAACATTTAGCGGTAAATTAATAAAATTATTTATGAGTTCAAGTGATGATCTTATCCATTATTATTGACATTTTTTTCTTTTCAAATAGAAAATATGTTATGGACCAAATCCTTAGTAAATGACGATAGATAAATGTAATCTATCGTATAATGCCATATTATTATCTTTAGTAGATATGCCAAACCACATTTATTATCACTTGATGAGACATTTCATATGGAGAATTCTAAAAATATTTTTCCCATCTGCAGTTATACTAATGATGCGTGATAGAATATTTACTTAATAAAGATACTTCGTGACGTCCATTAATAAATATGATCAAAACAATAAAAAATTGAATTTTCTGTTAATAGTAATAATATAAAAATAGAATTTACATAATGAAAAAAAGATGCAAAGTCAGATATATCCCTGTCAATATTAGAAAAATATATATATATATATATATATTTATTTATAAAATCGTTATGTTTATATTAGCTTAGTCTTATGTATATATAGTCTGGGAGAATAAAGTAAATAATTGCACCGTTTTGATTCAAACAAAAATCCCACACTACTCTGATTTATTTATTTCTTTTCCAATCTATATGAATAAATATAAAAAAATATCAAGGATATATTTTGTTTTTCAATATATTTGTCACGGTTATGCTGCATTATTAATGAAGTGAAGACACCAGTTACCATAACGAATTTGTCTCGTAATTCGAATTTGTTTCTATAATTAAGCATAACTATATAAAGGTTTTTTTTTTCGTACTACAAATCAAAATTAAAAATTAAACAAGGGAAAAAAGAAATTTTTTTTTTTGTTTTATTTTGTCTAGATGAATCATTATGCAGAAGCTGGAATGTGTTTAGCACATGCAGCTAGTCTTGTTGCCGAATATCTTCGTATGCTTGAATCAAAATCATACATGCCTGATGGTTGTGTTGCTCTACAAGTTCGTTAAAAATTAAAAAACAAAAAAAAAAAGAAATAAGTTTGATTTTTCTTTAGAAAATTTCAATGAATTTATTAGAAGAAAGTGCTGTTAGTGATGATGTTGTATCACCAGGAGATGAAGGTATTTGTACTGGAAAATATTTTACAGAAAATGGTTTTATTGGTTTAATGGAACAAGCAGCAGTTTTTCTTACTCATGTTTGTATTTTTGATTGTTTTTTTTTTTTTATATTAATTTATTGATTGTTTTTATTTTTATTAAAGGCACATATGTATGAAGCAGTCAATAATATTTATCATGTATTAACACCTATTTATGAAGCTAATCGTGATTTTAAAAAACTTTCTCAAGTACATAGTAAATTACATGAATATTTTAATCGAATACTTATTCAAGTAAGAAGGTTTTTTTTCTTATTTTACATTTTAAATTAAATGCTTGATTTTTTTTTTATTAGGGACATAAACGTTTATTTGGTACATATTTTCGTGTTGGATTTTATGGAACAAAATTTGATGAACTTGATGGACAAGAATTTATTTATAAAGAACCAGGAATAACAAAATTAGCCGAGATAGCTTCTCGACTTGAAGTATGCATATTTTTGTAAATTGTATATTGAATAATTTTTTCTTCGGCTTCTTTTAGTCATTCTACATTGATAAATTTGGTAAAACTCAAGTTGAAATGATAAAAGATTCCAATGATGTTAATCGTGCTTCACTTGATTTAGCCAATAAGGTAAAATACACATATATTTATATATGTGTGTGTATATTAAAAAGAAGAAAAAATATAGAAGTAAAACCATCGATCATCACCATCATCTTGCACAAGAAAAAGAAAAGAACGCTACGCATACACACACATTAGAAAAACGCACTCTGATTGAAGAAAAAAAAAAAGACAAAGCGAGAAAAAAAAAGAAACGAGATAGAGTTAGCAAGAAAGGAGAAAATGACAAAAGAAAAAAAAAAACTTTTTTTTTTCAAACATTTGGCACTGGTTGATATTTCGGGTCTGGTGATATGCCTTTGGTTACTACTGCTTTCGTTGTGCCTGTTGAACCAGCTGATGTTGCTGGTTTCTTTTTAAATTTCTTACCGAGAACTAAAAACAAAATGACAAGAATTATCGCAAGGATGCAGAGTGCAATTAAACCAACAAATATTAATTTTTGCGTAGACCAACCTAAAAATCATAAAAAAAAAACCCATAGATTAATAATTAAAAAAAGAAAAATATTTTCTTTTTTTAGAAAAGAATTTTTCCTATAATAATGATTCTGTTCTATTTTAATAAGATTATTTATAGAATGAGTCATCATTGCAAAGGTCGGCCATGACAGTGTGAAAAAAACCCAGAGTTTTTATCAAGACTATTTAGAGAATAAACTAAACTTCTTTTTATCTGTTGAACTTTATTTTTAAAGATAACAAGAATAATTTGATAAAAAGAGAAAAGAAAGCTATTAGAACTTTTATTGTGTGTATTCATTCATTCATTACTGTTAGTTTTTTTTTTTATTCTTTTCTTTTTTTTTTTTTTTTTTTTTTTGTTAACATTGTTTTAAATTACTTATTCGATGGAAGAACAGATAAGAAAAAGACATATTCGTGTTGAATAGTTTTTGTTGCGTTCTGTCTCGACTCTCAAGGTTTGTCTATTTGTAACTAAGCGAAAAACGACAACTGTAAGTCAATTGAAAAATGAGCTCATGAAATTGTTAGTTATACAGTATATGGCCTTGTTGTTGACGTTCTTATTTAGACATGAGTTTCTTCTTCTAATCGACTATTATCATAGTCTAACTCATTCTTCTCCGATATATAAACAGAATTGGTAAACGAAGACCTTGCATACATCGGCAGATTTTTTGTCTTCATCTCATCTCGTTCTATCTTTTTTTTTTTTCTATGTTATCAGTAACTGGTTATTTTTACTTGCTCTGCAATGGCGTACACACATTTACACACATATGCCTATATTTCTCGGTTTTTTTCCCTTCCTGCTCCAAGTTTTGTTCTATTTATTTTTGCATGATAAACTTACCCCACCATCGTTTTCCACCAGTAATAGCATCGGTAGTAGGACTACTGCTCAATTCATCAATCACTGTTGCTGTATATTCATTGATCTTGTCAGTTATTGCTGCTATATTTGATGGTGTTGAAGTATCCTGCATATCTGCTATAGCTGCATCAACTACTTTAGTTGATACTGTAATACCACTATCAGCTTGTTCATTAACAACTAAATTGACAACATAATCTTCAAGTGGTTCATCAACATAATCATCTACTATAGGAGTAGTTTTAATATTTTCAGCAATGACTGTTGTTGTCTCATCATTAGATACATAATCACCTCCTTCACCACCTTCATTTATTTCATTTGATGAGGGTTGACCGTCAGCCATAGAATATGACGGATGACGTTAACAATAGATATTACGGAAAACAGATCTAAAAACAAAATGAACTCAAAAAGAAAAGAAAAAAAAACCACAGATACGACACAGTATTCTTTCTTGTACATATCAATAAGAAAAGAACAAGATAAAAAGAAATATATGCATCAAGAAAGATAATATAATCATCAGGGAACAGTTCTATGTTATGACAAATATGCTAGTAAGCTTTAGATCTTGGAAGTATGCCGAAGCAAAAAAAAAAAAAAAGACCTTTTTCTCTCTTTCTTCTCTTTCTCTCATATTATCTCATGCAGGTATGTTGCGCTATATACGTCATCAATGATAGACATAAATAGAACAATCATGATTTGGTTCAAGCAATAGATCAATTTTGATTAGCTTATAAAACGACAATAAGTAAGAGATAAATGTAAATAAGAAAAAAAAAAGAAAAACAAGAACAAATAATCAATTCAAATTCATATAATCGGAAAGAAATTGGAGTGCTACTTGTACTTTTCATTATCATATTTCTCACTAACCACACCGTAGATCAGTAAATGTAGTCTGTATGCGTGACTGAATGTACGTGTTTAGTATATGCGTTATTATCTACATCACGTACAGAAAAAAGCAACGAAGAGAAAAAGAGGAAAAAAAAAGGAGGGATTTTTGTGCGCCATCCGACGACGGCAATGGCAACCAGGGAACGATATTTATTTTTTTAAATAAATCGTCTCCATCCATGTCTCTCTTTCTCGTTTTTTTCGTGCGTATTTACGTGTGCGTGTGCACCCTGTTCTACAACCATCATCGTCATTCTATGATTATTTACTTGAAAAGCAAGAGCTGTTTTCTTTTGCAAGCTATGTATCAAATCATTGTACATAGACATGTAAAGAAAATGCAGAAGCCTTCAAAAAAAAAAGAACAAAAAAGAAAAAAACCAATGATGATGCGATAAATAATGAAATAAAAAAAGAAAAAAAAAAGGAGAGAAGACTCAAGTAATCATTGTTTTTGCATACGCATTCAAGTTACCTTTTACATGTTCTCTACATTTTTTTTATTATTTTTTTTGAATAATGCATTCTCTTTTACAATGTTTTCCTCGTGGAAATAAAAAATATACTCAAGTCAAGTGAAAGCAAAAAAAACGGCATTGAAATAAGCATCTGCTATCTTTTTTTTCGCTTGTCATCGACAATGTTATGCATAAATTATATCACCTCGCTTTCTCTTTCTCTTTCTTTCTTATTTACCATAAATTTATCTATCCTAAATATAGATTAAATAGCGATCAACACTATATAGAATGCGTAACGCAAAAATATATATTATATATTATATATTATATATTATATATTATATATTATATAT